CCCCAAAACCCCAAAACCCCAAAACCCCAAAACCCCAAAACCCCAATTGGAGAAATCAAATAGAACTTTATTATAAATTATTTTGAAAATCACTTCCATGTTTGCAAACTATAATTCTTGCTCCTCTGTGAAAGGCAATGATTTGGATGAGCCAGAAAATATCCTTTTCTATTCAAGAGAGCCTAACTTCAAAGGGAAACAAAATTCTTATGAATTTAATGCTGATAACTTGATGCATCCACAAGATTTACAAAGCGAATCTGATATAAATTGGGATGAGGCGTATCACTCTCAGGACTCTTCAGGAAGTAACTCTAGGTCTTCATTTGAGGCTTCTTGCGAAGACCTAATATATAATGCAGGAGGAGGCGATGGAGAAGCTCAGCCAGCTCCTAGCCAAAAACTTTCTGTTTTGAAGAAGAACTCAGCCAGAGAGATGAAATGCAAAGGACTCTTTGAAGCTTTGGCCGACTCTATGGAAATTCTTATTGAATTTTACTACAAGCTCACAGGAATTCTTGTTTCCTCCTTCAAAGAAGATCTTCTGAACTCTTTTGCTGAACTTGAAGCAAAAGATAAAAATTTCAAGAAGATCTTTAAGAAAAAATTTAATCCAAAATAAGACAAGAAAATGGGAAGACAAAGATGCTATTACAAAGAGCATCGGGTCTTTTATCAAAAAGTTCCCTATTCTCCTGGTGGACATGGAGGGATACTTTCCTAAAAGAAACCATAGTAACAGAAGTGACAATGACTTCTTTGTAGCCTATCTAAAGGTATTCATGCTCGAGTTTATCCCAATCTTTCTTGTTGAGAAGAGAAAATTCGAGGAAGGTTTTGATTCATTGATCCCTCACTCTCAAGAAATGATGGTGAAACTCTTCCTCGAATTTATTGTAATAAGATACCCATCGAAGAGAGTTGAGTTCATCCTGGATTACTTTTACGATAATAATTATATTGATGAACAAGCCAAAGAAGACTTACTTTCACAAAAAGAGATTAAGCCATGCCAGAATGTAAGACAGTTCATTAAGTTCTCTGAGAGAAATCAATGCTTGAGACTGCTCAGAAGAAAATCAAACTCTTTGTTTAACAATATCTGTTTGACAGAGAAGCAAAAGGGGAAGATTCATGAGCTCTTCTTAGTGTCTCTAGATTAAGTCTAGGAACCTGTTGGAGCGCATGTTGCCTTCTCTTTTGCAAGATTCATAAAATTTACCTTACTGTAACAACGTTTACATCTAAACTTCTTGGGTTTGCTTATATGGGAGGGTTGGGGTTTAATCTTGTTTGACTCAACTCTGGGATAACTCGGAAATTTTGGTTTCAAGTCCGCATGCTCTTTGCTTTAATACAGAGGAGTTCTAACAACATGATTGCCTAAAAATAGCAATTGTATTAGTATTAATCTGTGCTTGCTGAATTTTCATTGAGTACATTTTATCTCACTGTTAAAACTATATATAGAATAGCCATTAATAAGCTCATAGGATAGCCAAAAACTGGGCCTTCAAGCTCTATACTCTTAATTTTGGGCCTAGAGACACCTAATTCAGGGCTTATGATTGGATAATTTTGAATTTGGTTCTCTCTATTTTCTAAATTGTTTTACAATAGCCTGTCTGAAGAAAATGACTATGTGGGAAATACACTATTTATGCTAGAGCATCCTCCAAATTAGCCTAAAAAATTGTTTTGATATATCTCAGCTGAAGTAAGCCATCACTGAGAGCTTTCATTTGAATTTGAAAGTTTAAAGGCCTCTCTGAATTAAATTTCCCGATTTTTTCCCCTCAAAAGGGGTTTTGGGGTTTTGGGGTTTTGGGGTTTTGGGGTTTTGGGGTTTTGGGG